ATTTCCCATATAATTACACATTTACTGCCATCATAATTGTGGGTATTGGAGCGGTTCAACACAGTAATAAGCATACCGCAAGATGACATGTCTCTTCTTTGACCAGTGGTTCTCAGCTCATTTCCTAAAGAGGGCCACATTATCGGCGTAGAATATACCGTATGTCACATGGGCGCGGCTGTGTGGCATAGTGGTTAAGCAGCAGGGTTTATAACCTCCAAGATTCCAGGCTTGATCCCCAGGTAGGGCACCGCTGTTGTACTTGAGCACAAGGCACTTAAACTGAGTTGTGTCAGTGAAAAAATACAGCTGAGGAAATAGGCAATATTTTGGTTGGCCTGCATATGGGAATCTGTTCAGCAAATAAGTTGTAGTAAAAGTGAGCCCTACCCACACCTCTCCGCACTGCTTGGCAAAAGTATTGGTCATTTAAGTTGCGATGGAGTGAAAAAAGTTGCATTTGCCGTTTCACGCAAGATTGTATCTTCATGCTACTCAATGTCTGACCGCCTATGGAAGACAGCTCATTTCTTCCTTGTCAGCATATCACATGGACTGACCAATCATCAGTGGTCTAATGGACTTCAAAGCTGATTGGACCATAGGGTGAGACCCAGTGCCATAAGCCCCTCCCACAAATATGCAAGGAAAGCTTTAAACCCAGGGGATATTTGGGAGACAAGGTTAAAAATGACATTGAAATTTCACTGTCCGACAGGATACGACCAAGAAAAACTGCACATCTATCAGCTGTAAATCCAGTCTTTACCGTTCCTCCCCAGCCAAAGCATTTCAGCTGCTTTACAGACCGGATCCTCAGTCCTCGGTGAAGTGGATGCAGTTTGATCGTTCATTACTCATTCATTTTCATTTCTTTTGCATGTTACGCATGCGGCGTGTTTTAGCACCAGCCTTTGAAGTCGGCCTTCTCTCCTTTGATAGATAGCTCAGCAGCATAAGAGTGGCTGCTTTTTACAAAGACGGAGACGATTTTAGTCCCCGAGAGAGTTGCTGTAACTGCTGACGTGAAGCTGCTCCGTGGTCTTTTTGAGATTCGGCCTCCTCAGTTTAATTCAGGGCATGGGAGCTTAGTTTGCACCCCGTGCTCTCCTCAGTTAACCCTGACAGTGAGCCAGTGAAAACCGAGCTACTTATCCCTTACACATAAGGTCCCTGGTTAATCCAGCAGCCTGCTTTTCTTTCCGCTCAAACATAAATGTTTTCGCATGACCCCTCTGAGCTTCACCGTTCGTTAGTCTGAACGTTATGCTGCTAAATCAACAAATTTAGTTTTTTTTAGAACCAAACTGTGCTGACCACCTGACTTTTAATGAAGAAAAACAGGGATGACTTCATTTCCCGGCATGTGTCCTCTTGATGTAGCGCACTGGAAACAGGGTGAAAAATTTATTTATGGGGGTGTATTTTTTTTTTTGTCAACTGTGAAATTTCAAAATATTAAGTCTGAGCCACCCAGACACTTCTTACTCTTTTTCTGAATCAAAATCTTCCCTGTGACGAGAGGTCAGACAGCAGTTGTCCTCCCCTCAATCAGAACATATGGAAGTCACTGACCCGCCCCTCCCCCAGTGCTCCCTGGCTGACCTCCCTGCCGCTAAATTAAGCAGAAAGACCCCCGGAAATACTTCCCACGGAGGAAATGGGCAGAAAAAATGTATTTTTAGTCAATTTGGGGAGAAGGAAGCGGGTTTGGCGAGGGCTCTCTGTGTGTCCCCTCTTCAGGTAGCCTTCCCCTGGTTCAGGTTGCACAAGGTCCTGACCCGGGGGATCATGGGAAAGGCCTCCGGCCGACATCAAAGATGGGGCCCATGTGGGAAAGGGCCGCGGAGGTCCTGGAGGTCGCTTGCAGGGCGGCTTTCATGTCAGGGCAGGCCTGGTCCCGGGTCACAGAGCGTGGACCTACCTGTCCAGCCACGCCACAACACCCAGCCAGGAAATTACCTCCACTTGTCTCAATTAGAGAGCGGCTACTGAAAAGCCCTGCTTTGTTTTCCAAGAGCCGGGAAGGAGAAGGGGATTAGGCTGTTATAGGAGTGCTAGACAGGAGGATCTGGAAGTCACCAGTGACGTGACCTCTGGCCTTCCCAGGGCATCTTGGCCCAATCAGTCTGTTCAGTGGCATTTTACCCCTCCCCCTCCCTCCGTCCCCCATCTCCCCACTGTTTAGCCTGGACTTTGTCTCCTTTCACTTGTGTCTGCAATCTGCTCAGGGGCGGCAGTGTAGCATAGTGGCAAGGAGCAGGGCTTGTAACTGATATGTTGCCGGTTCGATTCCCTGCTGGGGCACTGTTGCTGTACCCTTGGGCAAGGTAGTTAAGCCACAGTTGCCTCAGTAAAATATCCAGCTGTATAAATGGTCAACATTGTAGAAAACTGTAACCGATGTAAATCGCTCTGGATAAGAGCATCTGCTAAAACGCCAATAATGTAATGTAATAACGTGAGCCAAAGCCAGAGTTGGAATGCTGGATTGACGACGGTGCCCCCTGTTCCAGCAGAGCCTCTTCTGCGAGCCTTCCAAGTCCAAGGAGACATCCGATCCCCGCGAGGTGGGACGAAGAAAGTTTTTCGGTGTCACTGGGTGTCACTGCCCCGTCGCCTACCCCTGACGCTGCAGTTTGTGGAGGGTCAGTGTGGCATGTCGGTGTGCCAGGGGCAGAGCGCCCAGCGCCAGGGAGAAACGTGTCACGAGGCTGGACTCACCTGCCCCAGTTTCACACGCACATGCACTCACGGGCAAACTTTTCTATTTTCCAAGCATTATTTACACGATGAATAAAATTACTGTGCAGGATCTGTTGAGTCTTATTCCCTGAAATATGAATGCTAGATATGCTATGCCTCTCGTCTTGGCCACTCCTCTTGAATGCCAGGCTGAGGCAGTGAAAACCAGCATTGATCTGTGCATTAGAATCTCTCCATTGTAGGTCTGTATGGTGGTGTGTTAGTGTGGACTGAAATCAGAGGACTTCCATGGTTGTCAAAACCAGGCCCAATGAGGGACCTGAATTGTGTGCCCCACCCCCACAGCAAACACTGACTCTGCCAATGCAATTACCAGCCTTGTGACCCAATTACCCCAACAGAGGACCACTAACCTGTCAAAATGCTTATGTATGTCTATATACATGCTACACAGCATAATGTTCCTGCATGCAAAGGGAACACACCCATATGCTACAGCACCCACATGCACCGGTTCACAAGCAGTTGGAGAAATGCCATCACTTGAGGCAAAGAAAAACATGAAAGTTTCTATCACATTTTCACATGTTTTCACTGCTGTTTACTGTATAAGGAATTCTCAAATTCCACTTTAAACAACATGTTCACCCTCTACTGAAATCCCATGCTCAAATGAACTTTTTCTCAAATAAACTCACTCTTTCTCACTTTCTCAAATAAACTTAAAGTGTGCAAAGACAGGTTCTCAGCATGGCTTGTTGGCTTCAGAAAGGTGGTATATTTACAAACCAAACTCAAATGCCTGAGTCATACACAAATGTTCTGTAGCAGAAAGCCCACAGGAATGCGAAACTGGTTGTTAACATAACCAGCAGTGTGCCTCATTTATATAAACTAAAACATTATAGAAATGTAAGGAAAGCTGAAGCCTCCTCAGTGTTTAGTCATTTTTATATTTGATCAGCTTTTCCCCTACTGCGCTCATTCTCATCCAGCTCCTCCTCTGAGCTCATAGCTCCGATACAGGTCAGGATCTACTCACTACAAAAATACCCATGAGCAAGTACAAGATGCTGAGCACAGTATGTGGCAGTATATTTCTGCCAAATTTAGTTAACTGCTAATGGCCTTTTACGTGGAAACGTTTAGATCACGGATGAATTAATTTCCTGGAGCTACACATCACCACACCAAGGCTTGAATTAGCATGACACGTTGAATTAGATCATTGTCACTGGTGAATAATGTTGTCACACACTTGAGCTTTCTCTGAGCAGCTTACGATATTTTGAGATGCCCTGTTATTGAACAGTGAGTTAAGACATTTTGAGATGCCCTGTTATTGAACAGTGAGTTAAGACATTTTGAAGATGGCAGAAGAGTTAATAATTGAGAATCAAATGCTATTGGCATGTAAGCAGGGGTGGGGCAGGGGGAGGGGCTGCTGTCGGAGGTCTCAGGCCCCCCCCCAGGTCCATGTAATGGTTTAGTGGACCCTGTTGGCCCAGTAAAAGCCTTCTTAGTCCTGCAGTACAGAGGCCTTGTGGCAGGTGTTGTGGTGCCCTCTCCTGCTTCCCCTAATGGGTTTAACGGTCAGAGAGCCGCAAATTGTCCTCTGGGACGTGATTGAATTAGGGGTGGTCAGAAATCTGCTGAAACAGGAAGATGGACTGTCTCCTGTCACCTTCCCAGCATGGCTGAGGGGGAAATATGCTGGAAGAAACTGTCACACTGCAGTGACATCACTCCTGCGTCAGCGACAACACAACCCCCACACGTGCACACCACTGCCCCTCACTGTGCCTGCTGTCCTCAGACAGAGCTCTCAAAGAGGAAATTTACTAGGGGGGAGGGAGGGGGGATTTCACTACTCTGATTCTCTTTCACTTTTCAATTCATTCACATGTGATATGTTTGAGGAAAGGAAGGGGAATTCTCCGCCTGTCTCAAACTCTTGTTTACATTCTCTCTTCCGATTTTCCCCCTCGCAGAGAGCTCCTCGCAGTGGGACTTTCCCCTGGGGAAGGGAAGTTTCTTCCTTTGAGCTTCGGTATCAAAACAGACCTCGGGGACAGTGATGTCACGGCCTCACACCGCTCTCGTCACATGTCTGCGCCAGTGATGCCGTTGTCATGGAACACACACGTCATATTGAGAAGAGAGACGTCTGTGGTGACAACTGAATGTGCTTTTGTAAAAAAAAACAAAAAAAACAAAAACACTTACGCTAATGCTTTGAAGGACTGTTGATGTGTTAACCTTGAAACTGGCTACATAAATACTGAAGTTAACTAGCATCAGTGTGGCGTAGTGGTAAGGTGCAGGACTCGTAATTGACAGGTTGCGGGTTCGATTCCCTGCTGGGGCGCTGCTGCTGTACCCTTGGGCAAGGTGCTTAACTCAGAATTGCCTCAGTACATATCCAGCTGTAAAAATGGATAACATGTAAAAACTGTAACCTATGTAAATCGCTCTGGATAAGAGGGTCTGCTAAATGACTGTAATGTAATGGAACTATCTCTGTCTCCCAGGTGTCTAACAGCACCATGGAGCTGCTGGCAGCGAGGGTCTGAGAGATGACTGGGTCTCACACAAAGTGGAGCCACGCACACCAGCCTCAGGGACAACAACAAGCGCTAATCACTGCGCAAACACGTACATCCCTGCCTCCCCTCACTCCAGACGCTCCACAGCTTCGGCGGTGACCGACTGCCTCCCCAGAGCAGTCATTGCCCTTTCTCACTCTAAACCTCGTCAGAGCAGCCGGGATTAAAGCTGTCATAAAGTTCAAATGCAGGGGAGCTCCCGATGTTCCTGGCAGCGTGACTCATCTCGCAGGGTGCTGTGGGAGAGCTCGGGCTCTGCGATGATCACTCCGAGAAAAATGCCGGGGGAGAGGGATGGGCGGGGCTGGCATCCAAGCCGTGGGATTCAGCCTGGGGGTCTCCACCCTTCATTTCTGGAGACTGCTGGACTGTTTGGACTGTCTCCATAACCCATAACTGTGTACGTCCCAATGGGACCGTTCCTGAGCGCAGGGTGAACTATGCCAGCCGGAGCCCAAAACAAGCCAATCTCTGGGACCTGCATCAACTACATTTACATTTATTCATTTGGCAGACACTTTTATCCAAAGTGACTTACAAGTGAGGTACAATACAACACAAGTGAAAAACCATACAGAGTCAACAATATTAGAAGTAGCATCAGCTGCTGCACCCCCCGCACACCCCCACAAAACCACAACCAGCAACACATGTGTGAGCGCATGTGCGAGGGCCAGTTACAGTCTCCTCACACCTCAGCCCCCCAGAGCAGCCCGGGGAGGAGGCTGGAGGCCTGTTTATGGTGAGAGCCAGACCAGTCCCCGCAGGGCGGGGCAGGGCCACGAGCGGCAGTCTTGTGTAACCTCTCACACAACATGCACGCTGCAGCCTGTTAGCATTACACTGCAGCTCACACGTCCGCCCCAACAACAACAACAAAATCGCAAAATCACAAAATGCAAAGCGCGAAATGCAAAACGGAAACCACATCTGCATTTACGCATCCTGAGACCCCAGCAACTCCCTGATTAACAGATTAACGCTTCACGTCCGCGTTCACAGAAAGACGCAGCTCGACATGGGGAGGAAAACAAAAAAAAAAATCCAGCGATAGAATAGTTCCGTGGAAGTGAATCTCAGGGCGTTGTCCCCTTCACTACGCACGCTGCCTCGCTGATAACCCATTCCACGCCATTACGGATGGGAACCTCCCACCTCCCTGCCCCCAGCCACTGGCTCTCCACGTACCGCGCCGAGATAAAGCCCTCTCCCCTCCCCACCGACGACACCGCTCACCAAAACCCTTGTTATTATTACTACTATTACTATTAATTTCTCAGCAGACATCCTTATCGCCGAGCGAGGTGGGGGGGGGAGAGGGTTTTCGCTTTTTTTTCCCCAAATCAGTCATTTTCACCGTTATCAATCAAGCGCGGCTCTCCCCCCTTTATCGCCGCTCTGATGCGCCGAGAGGCCATTAATAATGCGGCCATGATGGGGGGGGGGGCTTTTCTCACCTTCCTGTCAGGGGAAAGAGCTTTGCCTCTGTTATCCTGATTAATCCCCACCGTCTCAACCGGTTCAGATGATCACGCGACATTCACCTTACACTGCCCAAACATATGAGCTCTTTTTTTTTTTTTTTTTTTTTTTAAATAACTGCACTGACCTTGAAATTCTTTCCCAGAGAAAATGGAGAGGGGTTGGGGGAAGCACATGGTAACTGTAATGGTGCACAAATCATTCATTTCGCTCTGGAACCCAAGACGGACTAAACCGTGGGAGGACGGAGTACCACACACTGTGCAAAGACAGAACGGGGGGGGAGGGTGGAAGAGGGAGAGTGTGTGTGTGCATGTTAGAGAGAGATAGATATACTACATATATAAAGAGGGGGTAGAATGAGAGAGAGAGGGAGAGAGGGAGGGAGGGATAAGGATAAAGAGAGGTAAACAGTGGGAGAGGAAAGGAGATTTAGGAAAGGATTAATATTTATTTAAGCGGGAGATCTCATTATGTTAATTGCTGATGTGTTTTATGATCTGTGTTACTGCCTTGGCAGTGCTGTGAATGTCGCTTAAGCATCTTTAAATGGTGATTGAAGGACAGCGTGTCTGTGTGTGTGTGGGTGTGTGTGTGCGTGTGTGTCTGTGTGTCTGTGTGTGAGAGAGAGATAGAGAGAGACAGAGTAGTCTTTTTCTGCAATTACGGAGCGCTGTCCATATGGAAAGTACTTACATGTGATTACAGATGTATGAATCGAATTCATATGTTTTAAATGGCGCACAGCTGCTGGGGTTTACACGGTTCAGAGGCTCTGGCTCTCGCTGGCGGTGGTGGAGCAGAGGGAGGAGACCCAGCAGTGAGCGTCCGGGGCTGTCTTGCTAGATGAAAGGCAGAAGCACATGGTGCTGACCCTCTCCGCAGGGCTCACGTGTCCCACTATCACACCACCCTGTCTGCAGGCACCGGAGAATGCAGGCTCACGCAACACACCTCCGGATCCCTGCGGTCTGCGTGTTTACACACACTCTTCTGCGGCACATGGCCACTCGGTCTGGCCTGGGGTCTTCCCCCCTCGCCTCCCTCTCTCCTCCCCCTCTCCTCCCCCTCTCCTTTCTCCTTCTCATCCCCTCTTCTTATCCATTCCTCCCCTCTCCTGTCCTCTCCTCTCTTCCATGCTCCTCTGCCATCCGCTCTTCTCTCTCTCTCCATCGCCTCTTATCCATTTTTCTCCTCATCTCTCCTCCACCACCCCCCATCCATCTCTGCCCACCTCTCTCCTCTCCTCTCCCATCCATTCCTCTCCACTCCTTTCCCCCTACTCTCCTCTGATCTCCTTTCTCCTCCCACTCTCCTCCTCTACTCTCCCCTTCTCCACTGCCACATCCATCCCCATCCACTTCTCTCCTCTTCTCTCCGATCTATTCCTCTCTGCCCCTCTTCTTCTACTCTCCTCTTCTCCTCTGATGTCCTCCCACTCTCCTCCTATCCTTTCCTCCACCACCACCCCCATCCATTTGTGTCCACTTCTCTTCTCTCCTCTTCCATCCATTCCCCTCCACTCCTCTCTTCCCACTCTCCTCTCCCACTCTCCTCTGATCTCCCTCCCCCTCCTCCTCTCCTCTCCTGGCTTCTCTCCCTCTGGAGTGCTGTTATAGCTGCTCACAGAGGGGGGTTATCAGCGCAGCTGCAGCAGGGGCTTTCGGTGGATAACCCAGGAGCCTCAACGCTGAGAGGGAAGGTAAACACAGTAATTGAAATTACAGAACTTTCCTCAGCAGAGAGAGGCTATTCATAGCCTTATTGGCATTACTCTTCTTTTGTCCACTGACTCAGGCTCTTTCCGGCTTCCGTAACACTAGAATGTAACCTTTCCAAAAACAAAAACAAAAGCAAACAGAACAAAGACGTCGCAGAGCTGGAAAGTGGTCCCGGCCCATGTTTACATTCGTGAGCCTTGACGTCAGCCATCAGGCAGGTAGAAGCTGGAGTGGCATTAACACTGACAGGAGAAATTGTGTTTACTTACCAGCCAGAAGGAAAATTATAGGTTCTAATATTAGAGTTGTGTACCGTAGAGGGTGTCAGAGTGAGTGAGTGAGTGAATGTGTGAGTGAGAGCGTGTGCATGTGCGTGCGCTTTATAGGAAATATGCAGGCCAGCGGTGGCATCAGCAGAGATGGGAAACTGGAGCTTTGGGTGGACGTCAGAGGGGCTGACATTGGAGATTCTGAGCTGACCCCCCGGCCGATCTGTCCACCTTCCCCAGTTTCACCCCTCTTCTTGCTCCCTCTTCAGGCGGAGGCCAGGAGTCATGAGAACGCACGGAGACGAGATTCCTCTGAGAGACAGGGTGGGAGTTGAATTAACAGAGGCCCTTCTCTGAGCAGGACCTGCCCATTCTTCAGGCGCTCACATGGTAGCAGATCCACGAGTTTGCCACGCATTGCATTCAATCCGTGTAAAACTTCCAGTGGTATCGCATTTAACTTCCCGTTATTATAGATTCCATTCCTTTTGAGTCAGCTAAACTATGTGCTGACATAGTATGCACATGAACCATATTCTGAAGGCCCAGTATTGCTGGGAGTACACTATTGCACATTTCAACATGGGAAGACTGTCCTTATCCCTCAATCATAACTGACTAAGGGGACATTATGAAGAAGTGACCAGATGCAACCTGAGAGGACCTTTTGATTTTTTTTATTTCTAGCCATGCAATTGCGGTAGATGAGGAATTTCAAAGTTAACTAACTAAGTTAACTTTTATGTCTGCAGTTACAAAACAAGGTTTTTTTCAAGGAACAACTGAATCTATGCATTAATGGCCTGTTTTCACTGGCCACGTTCAAGTGCACTTGACCAGTAGTGTATCCGCTCAAAGTTATTTAAAATGGTTGCACATTTTTAAAAATTTATGTCAACATTCCACAACCTAGATCTATCATAGCAGCATCAGAGGACAACTGCCCTCCACTCCACCCATATTTACATTTGTCAAAGTAGATGGTGGCTGGCAAACTGTTGTATCATGGAGGCTGCAGGACAAAAACTATATGTCAGAGCTAAATCTATGCTAACACTTTTTATGGGTGTTTTTTTTTAAATAAAAATAGCTATGAATTCCAGTTAATTCTATATGGCAGCCCTGAAATTACATGTAATTGGTATTCACGTGCAGGTCCCCATCAGTAAGTAAGTCAGCATGAAATTAGTTTAAATCTGCTGCTTATATTCTCCTGAATTTAAGGCTGACACTGACAGTAGTTAGACAGGTGACTCATACGCTACTAATGTTTTACAATTACTGGCTCGG